CTAGCTAGTGCAGCTAAAAATAGCAGTGAAGATGCAGCAACACAGGTTTCAACACAGGCTGTAAAAGACAGCTCAGAACTCTGAGTACATACTCACATTGCTAGCCCATGCTGCCACCAGGGCCAGATTAACCCATAGGCTAATAAGGCTATACCTTAAGGCCCTCCTATTTTTAGGCCCTACTGTAGGCCCTTCATTCCGTATTGAAGGAACAGCTGAGCGACAGTAATCGGAAATTTTTTGTCTCTTTAGATATTGCTTTGTACAAATCAATCCAGCAAGACTATGAATTCAATGTCTTTGTGGGCTAAGTAAGTGTTTGTGGGCCCAAGCAATATTGAACTTTGTACACAGTAGGCTTAAACTGGACAATAGAAACCATGTCGAAGAAAGGAGGATGGCAGAAATTGAAGGAGGCCAAAGAAAGACGGCAAAGACAAGATGTAGTGCTGAAAGGTACTCCTCTCCTAAAGTTTTTTCCTCCTACTAAGTCCGGTGGTGAGGAAGTCGAGGCGAATACCAGCCCAAGTGAACCCGCTGCGCCTGCGCCTGATGAAAAGGAGTAGCCTCCTGTGACTTCTCTAGCTGCAGTCTCACCCCACTCCTCTGAAGACTTTCCCAGTGATAGTAATACAAAAATATCGTTCTCCAACGATCCAGGCGAGTGGGACATGACTTCTCAAGAGCTCATTGCATATTAGACTGAGAAGGGCCCACAGAAATTCCAGATTCTAAATGCTGACTTTTCATTGACAAAGCGAGAGTACACCAATCAGAATCATTATCTGACCATATCAATGTTTGAATATGTGAAGCCTAACAAACATATTGGCAAGCGAAAATGGCTCATCTATTCGACTTATAAGCAGAAAGTGTATGGTTTTTACTACTTCCTGTTTTCTGATACCAAAAAGTGGGGAATGTTTTGCGAAGGTTTCAATGATTGGAAGAATACTGCATACATTACTAATCATGCAATGAGTGAGCAGCATACATTGTCAGTTAGCAGCTACAATGCCCGAAAGAAAGTTAGTGGCAGAATTGATAACCAAATGGAAACCAGTTTTTGGAAGCTCGTGTTTATTGGAAGAACATTCTCAGACGCGTAGTTGAAACCATAGTTTTTCTTGCTGAGCGTGGTCTGTCATTACATGGCTCAGATGAGACTGTTGGGTCGAAACACAATGGCAATTACCTTGGCGTTCTAGAGCTAATTGCTAAGTTCAACCCTTTCTTAGCTCAGCATGTCAATAGAAAAGGCCATATATATAATATCTATCAAAGACTATTTGTGAGGAAATCATTGCACTGCTGGCAAAGAAGACGCTATCAGCCATTGTAGTTGAGATCAAAGATGTGGGATATTTTTCAGTGTCCGTCGACCCAACACTGGATGTGTCATATGTCAGCTGATTGTCATCTTGCATTATGTGCTACCCAATGGATTTATAGTCCATTGTCTATTATTGCATGATATATAATACATCTCTCTCCTAGATACTTATTAGAGACACAATCTCTTCTCTTTTTTACAGAGTTCTGCTCTTTTCACATTCCGTCCTAACTCTCTTGCCTGCTAGTTGTGACAAATCATGCTTAATCAGCACTACTTGTCCCACTCCTGGGATTTTACAAATGACTCTGATTTCTCATGCTAGTCAGCAGGCTAGTCTACACTGGCAACACTAAAGCACTGCCGCGGCAGTGCTTTAACGTGGCTTGTGTGGTCGCAGGAGAGCACTGGGAGAGAGCTCTCCCAGCACTCTAAAAAAACCACCTCCACGAGGGGCACTGTCTATATTGGCGCTTTATAGCATTGAAAATTGCTGTGCTCGGGGGGGGGGGGGTAGTTTTCACACCCCTGAGCGAGAAAGTTGCAGCGCTGTAAACTGCCAGTGTAGACAAGCCCAGAGTCAGACAGAAGGGGAACTGCAGTTTTCTGAGGCTTTTCAGATGTGTCCCTGGATTCCTAAGCATTTTTTCCCACCCTTGAGTGCCACCCTCACCAACATATGAAGGCTATAAATGGAGTCATCTGGGGGTGGGAATAGGAACATCTGTGGACTGAAATGCAGTGGACAGGGAAAGCTTTTCAGAGGAACAGAGTGGAGAATGATTGTAATTATTCGGCTGAAAATGAGGGATTTGTCCTTCCTACGTAGGCAGATGTCACGGTGGTGGAATTTCTCCATGATAACAGAGTCCCATATGTGAACTCCCCATTATTTACTGAATTCATTTCCATTCCTTTGGTTGTGTTCCCACACTTCCAACACTCAAAATGTCAGCTTTCACGTGCCAGTGACTCCTGTCCTGAGAGCTGATGTTCATTGGCAATAGGAACTTCACCAAATTCTGGCTTCCTGAACGTGCAGTTGATTCTGACAGTAACAAAAACCAAGGGAGGAACAAGCCACAAATACATCAGAAAGCATCTTACACTAAGGAGTTAACAAAAGACCCTCAACTTCATGTTCTCCTCTAGCTCATCAACTCTATATTTAAAGTCCAAAATACTGATCTATGAGATTGTCCTCCTGAAAACAATGCAACTGTCTCCTAAACAAAGCACAGTTCATGGTTTGGCATCAAATTTTCCCCTCTTCCACAAGCCTGCCACAATTGCCCCTCCCCATTATTATAACAACATAGCCTCAAAATAGGCAATTTGTGACATCTACAATGCTACACAAACTCTTTTGTGACTTGGAAATTATTTCCATCTCTTTTGTGCCTCCAGCCCTTCTTGAGTTATGGAGAAGCTCACTGTCACATGAGTTCTGTGTCCCACATGTGGTCTCTGGCAAACTGGGAGGGAGAAGAAATCAGAATAATAGTAGAGAAAAATGATAGTTTAATGGAAAAGAATTGGCTCAAATTCCCAGACCCACAGACACTGATCCCCCTGCCATGGAAAGGCTACAGTTCTATGGTGTAAATACTTAAGTCAGGATTTAATTAGCAAAGCTGATTCTAGGCCTGGATGTTTGGGGTTTGCATTGCTGCTATTTGTCTGTCTGTGACACATTGAAATAAGTCCATGATGTGACATCATGCTATGCGGTCACAAGCTAATTTACATTTTTTTTAGTGACACCACGAGTCACATTCAGATTCTGGAGCTTGCAGGATCTGGGGCTGTGATGTCATTCAAAGAGATGATTCCAGTTAGAATAATTAGACTTGATTTTATAGTCTTTATTCAGGTAAAATTTCTGTGGATTTCCTGATGCCATATACCTGACATATGAAGCAATTAGTGTTGGTAGGAATGTGATTCTTTTACCCCAGAATCCCTAAGATGGCTGGAAAAGACTTTCAGTGGCACCTTCACCTGGGTGAAGGCCCCTGGATCCAGCCCTTATTACAGTACCTCCTCACTTTTAAAGTCGTCCCGGTTAATGTTGTTTCATTGTTATGTTGCTGATCAATTAGGTAACATGCTCATTTAAATTTGTGCAATGCTCCCTTCTAACATCGTTTGGCAGCCGCCTGCTTTGTCCACTGCTTGCAGGAAAAGCAGCCCGTTGCAGCTAGCTGGTGGGGGCTTGTAACCAGGGTGGACCGGCAGCCCCCCTATCAGCTCCCTGCTCCCCTAAATTCCTTGTGCTGCAGGTGCCCAGCAGGCTATCAATCGGCAGTTCAGCTGTCCCTCCCCCCACTGCTATGTGCTGCTCCTGTCCTCTGCC